GGCGTGGCACTTGTCCGGGTTGGCTTCGATCCCCCGTTCGGTCAAGTAGTAGCCGAGGAATTTACCGGCGCAGACGCCGAAAGTGCATTTCTCCGGGTTAAAGCGCATGCGACATGATCTCGCGGTCTTGAAGACCTTCTGGAGATGTGCCGCATGGTCGTCTTCCGCGCCGGATTTGATGATCATGTCGTCCATATAGACTTCGAGCATGTCCCCGATCTCCTCGTGGAAGACGCGGTTCATCATCCGTTGGTACGTGGCCCCGGCGTTTTTGAGGCCGAAAGGCATTACGTTGTAATAGTAATTGCCCGATGCTGTCATGAAGGCCGTGGCCTGTTTGTCGTGTTCGGCCATCGGGATCTGATTGTATCCCGAGTATGCGTCCATGAAGGACAAGAGTTTGAAGCCCGCCGAGTTGTCGACGAGCTTGTCGATGTTGGGGAGGGGGTAGGCGTCCTTAGGACATGCCCGGTTGAGGTCAGTGTAGTCAACACACATGCGCCATTTTCCATTATTCTTTTTAACAAGTACAACGTTGGACAGCCAGGTGGAATACCGGGCTTCCGAAATAAAATTTGCCTCTAAGAGGTCTTTTACAGCTTGTTCGGCTGCTGCCGATTTTTCTGGAGACTGGCGGCGACGGCGTTGCACCACGGCCTTTGCGGTCGGGCTGATGGACAGCTGGTGGCAGGCGACCTCAGGGTCGAGTCCCGGCATTTCCGCGGCGCTCCAGGCGAAGAGGTCAGCATTCTCGCGGAGGCAGGCTTGGAGCTGTCGTTTCGCGAGGTCGGGGAGTCCTGCGCCTACCCTTACGGTTCTGGTCGTGTCGTCCCCGAGGGGAATGAGCTCGAAATCGCCATCCGGGATGGGGCGCGCTGGATGCTCGTTGGCCGCGTCAGTCTTTTTATTGTCGAGCTCGTCGGTGAAGCGACTGTCGAGCTCAACTGATCCGACCAGCTCTGTTGGCTTGTCCTTTGGCGTAGCGCTCGGTGCTTTCCTTTTGGTCGGTGGAGCGATGGAGTCGAAGCCTTTCAGCGCGGCTTCAAAACACCTTCGGGCAGCTTCGATGTCGCCGTTGAGGGTGACCACGGCTCCCCTTCTCGTGTAATATTTCATCTTCAGGTGGGCGGTGGAGGGTACCGCGGTGAGTTCTGCTATCGTTGTCCTGCCCAGGATGCAGTTATACAGGGACGGGCATTCGATGACTAAGAAGCGGATGCTGATGTCTCTGGCCGTTTCCTCTTCCCCAAAGGTGACTTTCAGTTCCACGTATCCCCAGGGTCTTGTCGTCGTCCCGTTGAACCCCTGGAGGTCGGAGCCTACGTAGGGGGAGAGGTTGGACTCGTTGAGCTGGAGAGTTGTGAACAAATGTGAGTACATTATGTCAACCGAGCTCCCTCCGTCGACGAGGAGGCGCCTGACGTCGAAGTTTGCCATACGTGCGCGTATGAGCAAGGGTATGTTGGAATTGGGAGATCCCCCGGGTAGTTCCTCGAGGTAGAACGTGATCGGGTTGGAGCGGCCTCGGAATCTGTCGAGCGTGCTCATCTTGCCGGAGTTGCCCGCGATGAGTTCGTCGAATTTCCTTTTCACAGATCCTATGGACAGACTCCTCGTAGCGCCATCAGAGATGACCATGGCTCTGGGGAAGTATTCCCATCGGCTGGTTGGTCGGATTGGCTCGCCGACTAAGCTGGGTGCTTCGGGGATGCCGAGTCCTCTGCTTGCGAACCAGTCCTCGGGGCGGCTGACGCACAGCGCGACCTGGAGTCTCTCACCGTCTTCTGGGCAGGGGAGCTCCTCGATTTTCTTTGCCTCCGGGGCCTCCGATCTGGGTGGTTCAACTCCCCGGGTGTATCGCTTTAAGTGCCCATCTTTGATTAGGATTTCGATCGCATCTTTGAGATGGATGCAGTCTTCCGTTACATGCCCGTGGGTCCTGTGGAACCGGCAGTACTTTGACTTGTCCACGTTGGGTTTGGGCGGCGTTGGTCGTGGAAAACGGACACCTCCCTGCACAAACTCGGTTTTAGCGCATTCGGCCAGTATGCGTTCGCGGGAAGCGACCAAGGCGGTGTACTCGGTGAACCTTCCTGCCGGGCCGCGCGACTCGCGCTGTTCGCGGGGTTCGCGGTGGCGGTCATCCCGACGGCGGTCCCCTCCTCGCCGGTGGCTCGAAGCTCCGTCGTCTCGGTGCCCGCGGGGGGCTTCTCTGTCTCGGGTGTCGCGGGCGGAGTTGGCCGCTTGTGTTTCCTCGAACCGGATGTAGTGGGCTGCCCTGTCGAGGAAGTCTTGGAGGGACGTGGGCCGGTGTATGCCCACGGCCTCGTAGAATTTGGAGTCATGGCGCAGGCCTTGCTCCATTAAGTAGCGTTTCATTTCGTCGGAAGTCGTCACCTGTACGGCTTCCCGAGTAAATCTTTCGATGTATTTCCGGAGGGGTTCGTCGGGGCCTTGGATGATCGCCCCGAGGACTGCTTCCGTCTTCGGGTGACGCCGGGACGCTGTGAAGTGTTTGGAGAATAGGTCCTTCAAGACCCTCCACGATGTAACTGATTCGGGCTCCAGGCTTTTGTACCAGGTCATAGCGCCTTTCCTCAGAGTCGTCGGGAAGAGTCTGCATTTGATAGCCCCCCGGACATTGCGGTAGTCGAGCATGGCCTCGATGTCTTCCAGATGATCGTCCGGGTCGGAGGTGCCGTCGTACGTTGACAGCGTCGGTGGCTTCTCCATTCCTTGGGGTATAGGGGCCGCCATGATCTCCCGGGATAGTGGGGTGCGGTAGTCATCCTCGTCGCTGTGCGCCGGGGATCTCAGGGGGGATGAGCCGATCGCGGTGTGTCCCGGGTTTCGGGCCCTCGATCTCCGGCCTGTGCTCCCGCCTCGGGTTTCCTCGGTTGGGGTCGCCGCGGCGTTCTGGTTCCTCCCGCGACCGTGTCTTGCCGGGGATCTGGTGCGCTCCCGTGTCGCTTGGGGGCGGCGTCTCTCCAACCGCGGTCGGCGGTTCCTGGGTCGAGGTGAGGGGCTCCTCGAACCTCCGTTCTGGTCTTCCCGCTGGGGGTACCTCGGGGAGCCGCCGCGTTCCAACGCTCCAATTCTAGCGTTCTGTTGGGACAGCAGCTGGTTCGTCTGGTTGATGGCTGCAAAGAGGGCGGCTACCGTGGGGTCCGCTCCCGCCGGGATGGGCACGGGGTGGAATGCCGGCGGGCTCGGGGGGCGATGGTCGGCATGCAGGGGCCTTTCCTCGGACGATGGTGAGGCAGTTTGCCCGTCTCTTTCGTCGGCTTCATTCAGGCGCGCCGTTCCTACCTGCTTCCCGTTGGTGGCAGTGTTGAGCGCGAGATCGTGCGGAGTGTCATCGCGGCGTGGGCTGGCCATGACCGTGGAGGTTTGGTGAAACTTTTGGTTTTTCTGCTCGGAGTAACGGGGAAGTTTCAGTTTCCCACAGACGGCGCCACTGATCTGACCTGATCAGGAGGGATCACGGACTGGCCACGCTTCGCCGGACGGTTATCTGTCCGCCGAGGTAAGAACGAGGAGGGGGTGTACCTGCAAAGCACTCCGACGCCCAAGTAAGAAGTTGGACAGAGAGGAAGCAATAGTACAGAAAAGGGGGCAAGAAGAGTTACCTGACCCTCTTGAAGAAGAGGGTATTTATAGAGAGACCCCAGCGTTGGGCCAACGGTCATTCGAGGTGGGCCAGACGACCAGGCCCAACCCTAATGACTGCTAGGGCTTACGTGGCGTAGTGAAGACCAGGACGTGGTCTTCGCCCTAGTTCAACCGCTCCTAGATCTCCGGAAAGTGGGTTTGACCTGCTCTTTCGGAGGTGGGCGGTTGGCCGATGACGTGTCCCCGCGGAGGGGAGCACGTGGAGAACGTGCGCCGAGCACGTTATTCTCCCGCGGAGGGAGCCCGGGTAGTCTCGCTCGTCTGGTGTGACGGACGACGAAGGGGATGCGGCGTGATGGCTTGTGCCCGGCGGACGGTCCTGCTCGTCCGAAGGGGCGTGTGCCAGGTGTGCTCAGTTCGCCTGTTGGGCCGTATTTGGTATTGGACCTGCCGAGGTGAGGCCCACACCGGAACATAAAGTATTAGAAAATTATATAAAATTATTTCATATCGTTAGTGCAGGAGTATTATACTCATTTTTCTTTACTAATATATTTAATATATTTTTATTAATACTACACAACTCATTTTTCTTTAAAAAAAATTTATATTTAATTTGTATATATATTATGATAATAATACTTATTTTATTTTGTATACATAAAATAAAATAACATTGTATATATAAAATATTAAATATTGTATATAGAAAAATTGTAAGCCGGACACCAAAATTTTAAAAAAGAAAATTGTATATAACATATTAAACTTGTTGTTTCAGTTAGTGCAAATACAAAAAATTATTAACTTTCTACAAAAACTATTTAAAAGTTAACAACATACTAGTATTTTCTAAAGATTAAATAGTTATAAATATTTAAATTGAATAACTAAATGTGTACAACATTTAGTCTACTTTTATAAATAGTTTCTCATTCCGCCACCAGCGCGCACGTGCGATTGTAATAATTATCACATACACACACTTTATCTCATCATCTCTGTAAAAGGAAAGAAAAAGTCAAAATCTATTAATATTGAGAGAAACCAAAAAGATACTACAAACTTTTCACTATCTAAAGTTTTCAGTTCCACATATCACATCTACAAATAACGTGATCCGTTATTTTCCCTCCTTTTTCCCCTACTCATAACGGAATTTCCTAATCTCTAAATTCCTTGACCCCACCTTTTCATCTAAATTACCCTTTCACCCTCCTTCATTTTAACACCAAGGTTAATTGGACTGATAGAAAGGGTGAAATGGTAATTTCGGACGTGGAGGTGTTTATAAATGGGTTCCCGCTACGGAACTTGTTCTTCAATTTCATTTCTCAAACGAAATAGTGAATAGTTTTCTTCTCCTAATTTTCCTTTTTTTTTCAAAAATGGAAGATCAACTCAACAGAGAACTCGACCTTCTACCATCACCACGCACCGATTCATCTCTTCTCCGACTTCGATCATCCTCGTCGTCAAAATCCGAACGCGGCGGTCCGTCGCTTGACCTACAGCTCTCAATCAGCGTGGGTCCACCATCCATGCTGATGTGCGAAGGAGTGGAGGCACTGAAGTGGGAAGCGGCGGAGCAAATCCGGCTAGCGGCGATGGAAAAGGCGTACGCCGAGCGAGTAAGGGAACTGACACGGAGGGAGATGGAAATGGCGCAGTCAGAGTTCGCACGTGCGAGACAAATGTGGGAGCGTGCCAGAGAAGAAGTTGAAAAAGCCGAACGGATCAAAGAAAGAGCAACAAGACAGGTCGATTCCGCGTGCATGGAGATCACGTGTCATTCCTGTAGGCAAAGATTCAGACCTGCTTCAGTTTGAACTCCATTTTCATAGCTTCGTTCAAGTTCAACCTTCCTTTCCCTCTTTCGATTCTCTTAACACATCTTTGCTTAAAAAACAATAACTCGATCAATATTTTAATTAATTAACACGTTTTCCCTTAAACCATGGTTTGTGTGAGATTAGTTAATTAATCAGGTGATTGAGTTAGTTAATCATAATTTATAATTTATAATTTATAAGTACCGTGTTGTATATGTAAACGTTTTATGTGCTTTCCTACTTTGATGTTATGTTTCTGAGTCTGTATTTTATATTTTTCATTCTTGCTAATGCATTATTATGAATAGATCAAACCATCAAAAGTTGAAGATAATTATTACACCATAAAACAATGAGTTGGATCATCCAATAACTGCGATAAACCGTTTTGGTCTATTCATCTGGAATATGCGCAGTTGTGGATGATCCTGCAGAGTGTAGTATTGTAGAAGACATGAGACATGGTATTGAAAGGCTGACGATGAATAATTTAAGGAGATGTGGACGATAAACAAACATATACGTGGTGAAAAGTGAAAAGTTGAGGAAACCGATGACGATGGAACAAATGAAAAAGAACAAAAAGCATAGTAATAGCAGAACCAATCCACATATGTTTGTATCCACTTGTATTCAACTTGTTAACTTTTTCTCAGTCACAAACCAAACACCCACTACCCTTGTTTACCTTGGATCGGATTTCTTTTGACCAAAAGCATCTATGTATCAGAACAGTGAACAGTAGTGTTTCTTTTCAAAGATGTTAGAAGACTGAAACTAGCTTCATAAGTCAGCAACCTTTTTTTTCTCAAAAAAGTTTTAAGATTAGGGAAAATTACATAAATAATGTCGGCAAAACTTATAATATGATTTTATATATTCATTTATTGTTTGTTAGTAACGTAAGAATGAGATAGAGGTAAAACGGTGAAGGGTGTGTGTGATGATACAATAATACAGAAATCACTTTGATTCTATTATGAACTGAAAAAGTAACTAGTGGGCACATATCATAGACTTTGCGAAAAAGTTCGTTTTAGAAACGTTAGGAAGGCATGAAGTCGCTATCATGATGACTTAAAATAGATTTAGATTCCAACATATTAGATCTGTCGCTCAATAATGAGATGATTTCCACCGTTTGATCATAATTTGATTAAATAAATTATTTGAACATGTGTAATTTCAGCCGGTTGATTTTAAATTAACGACCTGGATCTAGTATAAAAGTGTTTATTTTTTAATGCTAGAAATGTTTATATTGTTACGAACTACTAGCTAGTGGTACCAAAATATGCACAACTTGCTTTAAAATAAAGTTATTGCATGGTATCTATTTAATGAACAACATAGCATTTGCACGTTATTCATTCAAATGACATCAAATGCTTTAGTGTACTTGAAGGCTTGAGTTTTGTTTTGAGGGTATGTTCTTCAAAATGTTCTATGTTGGAGTATAAATAATTTCTGTGTTGAATCACGCTTATTAATACTCTAACTTTAAATAGGGTTTATGTAAGTAGATACAAGATTGATTTTCTTAAGGATAGCTTGAGAGATGGTATTTTTTTATGATTTTAGAAGGGAGGATTTTGAAAAATCGTATCTATATCTTGAAACTTATTTGATATTTTTAAAATAATTTAAAAATGATATAATAGATTAACATATAAAATCATATTGTTTTTGAAACTTTTTAAAAATTTCAAATACATTTTAAGATATAAGTACAGTTCTGCAAAGTCTTCTTTTACGAAATCCTTCAAATAAACTCTTAGTTTAATCAATCGCAAAGTCGAATATTAAGATTTAAAAAAGAGTCTTGTTAACGAGTGTCCCAAAGACGCTCTTTCAGAATTTCAAATAAAGAAGAAAATTAATCATTTCAATTTTCAAAGTATTACACGGGCATATTTTCAAGAAAAACTTGCTATTTTAAAGCTTTAAAAAATGTCTCAGGAGCAATCGTTCGCATTTCTATTTTAAAAAAAATATTTTCAATTTTAAAATAAATGTTAAACTTTCAACTTTCATGCAAATTTAAAAAATATAATAAATAAAAAATAGAATAACGATTTTATCAAATAATACTTATCAAATTGATTATTGATGTATTTTAATTATCATTAATGTAAAATAATAAAAAATAATAAATCATAAGTATTAATTAAAAAATACAATGGAAAGATCAAATCTAAAATTGCATTGGAAATTAGAAAACATTTATTTTGAGAGTATCAATTATATTTATTTTAAAGGGTAATGTTTCACATAGAGTTATATTTGGTTAATCAAGTACAATATGGCGATTACATTATTTGAGTATATAGATAATTTAATTTACATAAAAATAATATGATTAATTTTGTTGAACATATACTTTATATATCTTAGTACTATATATTAAAAATATTATTTTATATTTATATGATTTTTGAACTGTTTTAACATTTTTCTTCTCTTAAAGATAAGGTATAGAAAATCAGCATCATTTAATTCCGATGTACTATGTACATATAGAGAGAATCTATAACACATCCAAATCAAATCTTTGTTTGTAGCTGACACTAGAACTTCAATTATCAATTTCTCATGAAGCTTCAAAATCAGCACAAGAACATGATGGAGTATAATCGAAGATAACCTGTATGAGTACATCTTCTTGTCCACAAGGAAACTCAAGTTGTTTTTCTCTTTGAGGATAAAAACTCAAATATGAACCACATAAAAACAATAATATAGTATAAATCTTAACTTAGTTAAAAACCTAACGACTTCACCATCATATACATTTGAATTATGGATGAAACCGTACTCCGACATATGACCAGCTAAATCGCAGTTAAATTGTCTTTTATATTTTATTTGGTTACAATCATGGAAATGCTAGAACAATCAATCAATTATGGTTCAGAAAGTTGAAGGCATGATAAAGAGGTAGGGCATGTATATACTCATCTATCAAACTAGTCATCATGATAAAAACCTTAACATTTGTCTTTTCAGTTTGTCCTCATATAATTGTCAAGTGATACTGTTTATTGCCCGATTTATGGAGAATCATGTCTATTATATCATGTTTACATGCATGAACCATTAGATATAGAAAATGATACATCCTTTTAATTATTCATCGGCATTGTAGGGATGCACAACACACATCATGGTATCCAACTATCCATGTTGATGTTCCAGTTCCAAAATTCAATGCAAATGTTTTGATTTTTTTTTTAAAACAATTGTCATGTGAAGGTCTTAGTTTCCAAAAATGAGGAAACAGTTTTCAATCTCTATCTTGGCAGTGAAGATGAAAAGGAAAAAATGGAATGGAATGATAGGAAGATTGTTCAATCAAATCACATAAACCAATGAGGAGAAAAAGGTGGTAGCTTCCCAAAGTCTAGGAAAGTTTAGATCTGTAACACTAAAACTCTTATAGGGTGGATACTAGGATGCTAGATCAAATGTTCATGTGTCACTAAATATGACAAAAAGAAATTTTGATATTTTTATTTTATTTATTTTTCAGTTTGAATGGACCATACACATATGTGAATGTGATAGTGGATAGTGGTGGTGGTAATGATTGTTACAGATTACTGAAAAATGTTTATGTTACTGTATATCTGTATATCTGACACTATTATTCTTAGCTTTGTGTGTGTATTCTACACATCTACTACGACCACATAAAAATTAGCATAGGATTCTTAGTTTCTTAGTGAAGATGTGTCCATATAAACATGAAAATGTTATCCTAAGGTATTTTGCAGGTGAACTTTTAAGACATCAATCTTTGACAAGTTATGTTTTGATTACTTATTCTGTTATATGCTCAGCATCTCTTCCAATTGTGAAAAGCTTTTCATGTGCTGTTTCAAATGTGGATCATGTGATATTGCCGATTTGCCAGGTCTAACTAACCTACCCTTGTTATCCTATTTGGTAAAGTGTTAACATTTCATCACCAAATTATTTTTTCATTAGTATTAAAGATGTTAGATTTTGGGGCATCACCCGTAACATGTGTATTAAAACAACAACTAGTAATAAGGGTATCAACATTTTAATTTGAAAAACTTCTCAAAAGTAATGGTAAGAACTACCTATCTTTTAGACTAGAGAAATTACTCTGCTACAAGAATATATATATATATATATGAATGAGTTTATTAACGTAGATTCAATTGTTTTTATAAAAAATCATTTTAATAAATTTTAACTTAAAAGTTCTAAAATGCACACGTTACTAAAACATATCTTCATAAAAACAAAAAGGTGTATCACAGTAAACCCGCAGAGATTTGTTATAATACACTTATTTATTTTTATGAAGGTGTGTTTTAGCAAATTTTAACTAAATAATAATTAAATGCACCTTAAGATGCATCACTACAAGAAACATTGCATTTTTCCAAGTGATTTTCACGTCACTAGTTCAAAAACCACTTCACTAACCAACTTTTGCGACGTGGGTAAAACACGCCGGAAATACAATGGTGGGAACATGTTCCCACGTGGAACACACGTCACAAAGTTGTGACATAGTTCCCACGTCGCAAATAACAAAATTAGGAGAAAATCTTTCCACGTGAAACCAAGTCACTAATATGTGACTTTATTTTCACGTGGGAACCCAATGACTTTGCACGTGAATTCTGACACTAATTAAATTGGTTCCCATGTGATTTTCACGTCACTAATTAGTGACGTGATATACATGCCACATCAAAAATATGTTTTATAATAGTGACATTGTTTGCACTTCACTATAAAATTTAATAATAAAAAAATAAAAATAAATATTAACTAAAAACAACTATAAAATTAAAATAAATATTAAATATTAACTATAAAATTAAAAAAATTAAAATAATATACATTAAAAAAATATAAATATTTAGTTACATGAAATTCACGTCACAAATATAAATATGTTTAATCTAATATGCATGTTAACATGACAAGCAACTGTCATATTCATCTTCGATAGAAGG